AGGATTTGGACCTTCCCCTGTATATGAGAAGTGTACAAACCCATCACTGTTTCATATGTAATTGGTGGTGGGTGTCCTTACAGCCATCCTCTATTCCCTGGACTCAGGTGACCCAGTGACCCAGGATGGCTGTTTCTTCCTGCCTACTTCTACTCCATGCTTGTCAGCTTCAAGGGCAACAAAGGAACTTACCTCATTTTCACCAACTTCTGTCCCTTGTTCTGTGCCATGTCACTGGCAAAGAAGCCTAAGACCAGCTGGGGGGTGGGAGGTGGCTTGTATACTTTATATACTGGCATCATGATCCTGTCTCATACCAACATTACATATGGTAAATTTATATAATTTGCAAAGCATATCTATTTTAAAATAATACTTTTTAATGGTTCAAAAAGGCATTGATGCCACCTGTTTTAGCCATGGTCCAGCAGTGTATCACTACTTGGAACCTCTCTCCTTGTACACATTAAGATATGATATGATACGATATGTGATGTGATATGAGCTATAGATATAGATATATATACAGGCATAACAAGGTGAATTTGTGGAGTATAGCTAAACTGCCAAAAATATTAAACTGATTCTAAATGAGAAGATATGGCACAGTAAGGATATGGAAGCGTCAATAAAGTATAGCATACCATGTATTAAGATAAGTTTACATTGTAATTCAGAGCACAAGATGAACATTAGCGTATATCCCTGAGGACACTTCATACAAACAAACCTTATCACATATATTAATACAAAAATGAAAAAAGAACAACAACAACAAAAAACATCAACCAGCAATAAGGCACACTGCAGTTGTTCCACAGAGAGGAGGCTTTCCATAAATTATCCTCCCAAATTATATAGTCATAGAATCAGAGTTGGAAGAGACCACGAGGGCCTGCTACCCAAATCTCCTGCCATGCAGGAATACATAATCAAAGCATGCTTGACATATATTCACCCAGCTTCTATTTAAATATCCAAAGAAGGAACCTTCATCACACCCCGAGGCAGCAAAATCCTCTATTGAAAAACTCTTAGCGCCAGGAAGTTCTTCCTAATGTTTAGGTGGAAACTCTTTTTCTGTAGTTGGAATCTGTTGTTCCATGTCCTAGTCTCTGGAGCTGCTGAAAACAACGTTGTTCTCAATATGACTTCTTTTCAAACATAGCCATCATGTCATTTTTTACCTTTCTCTGCTCTAGGCTAAACAATTATTATTGCATTACAATAATAATTGTAGTGCAATAAATGGATATGGAATATGTACAGTGACTACCGGATTACGATTTTGGATGACGTGGTTTTAACAGTTGATGTAATGTCTAAATGTTTTAATTTAATTATCTATTTTAATTATTTGTTGTTTTATGGCATTGATTTGTTCTCTATATGTAAAGCCACCTTGAGTCCCCTTCTGGATAAGAAAGGTGGGGTACAAACATAGTAAATAAAATAATTAAATCAGCATACCCAGTTCCCCAAGTCATTCCTCATAGAATATGGTTTCAACATTTTTTACCATTTGGGTTGCCCTTCTCTGTACACATCCTTGAATTGTAGTGCCCAGAACTGGATACAGTATTCCAGTTGAGGTCTGGCCAAAGAGGAATATAGCGGTACTGTTTTCTCTCTCGGTCTACCCTCTTATTGGTGTAGCCTAGAATCACATTCACCTTTTCAGCTGCCACATTACACCGTCAACTCATGTTTGGTCTAAATCCCCAAGATCACTTTCACATGTAATGTTTCCAAGCCAGGTGTCACCCATCTTAGATCTTTGTCTCCTGTAAACTCTTTCCATTGTCAAAATACTTCACTAGGAACAGCAGACAGGCTTCTGTAGATAGGAGTGTAAAGGCATGCAAGTGAACACTACAGAAACACTACAGAAACAGCCAGGTGTTGTTGCATTCTTCAGGGATTATGAGGAATCAAAGAAATAGTAGTAACTGTAGAAACCTAAACTGTAGAGGTGATGCAGATATTTGATTTGGATCGGGACATTATCAGCTTGTTTATTTTAACTTATGTTGTATTGTATGTGTATGTGTTTGTCTAATGTTTTTGATAGGGCCAATAGGCTAATCAATAAAATGTACTATACTACTAGAAGACCTATAGGTAGAAAAAGATGGGAAGCCTTTGCCTTTGTTTATGTACTGTTTATGTTAATTGTATAATGGCATTGAATGTTTGCTGTATATGTGTACTGTAATCCACCCTGAGTCCCCTCAGGGAGATAGGGCAGAATATAAACGAAGTTTATTGTTGTTGTTATTTTACTGACACAAAAACATAGTATGACACATCAAATGAGATATATATGCTGGATTTTGTATCACAAAATCACAAGTTGAACACTTATTATTATCAAGCACTAAGCCAATGATACTCTGTTTTAATTCAGGCGAAGTAATACTGTCTAGCTCTGCTTCTGGAAGTGAAAAATTCCATACAATTGCTTGACTTTTGCCTCTTCTTTCGGGACTCTCTCCATTTCTGGGAAGACTACAGCAAGTCTTTTGGCAATGGATGTTGAAGGACACTGATGTGCCATCTACAGTTGCTTTGCCTGTGGAGTCAGGTCAATCTCTAGACAGCAACATTACAGTGCTAAGTCCTGTCCTCCCTCCTGGAGACCCTCATCCTGCTTTGACTCAGTTGCCACTGCAGGGTTCTGTTCCTGCCCATCAGTCTCATTCTCAGGCAGGTCCAGCAGTTCCTCACTCATGGGCTCTGATGGCTGCTGGGAGACAACTTCCCCCCTCCTCTTGTCCTGACATGCAGTTTCTGAATCCAAATTAACTGCTTTGATTGGATTATATGGCAGTGTTGTTTCATCCTTAGTTTTTCTTATCCTTTTCTGAAATAGTAACAAAAATGAGAATGGGACAGGAAAGAGAAGGGACATGAAAGGAAAACTATTGACATAAAACTCAGTTCCCATGCTTGACTACTGGTTTCTATCTATCTATCTATCTATCTATCTATCTATCTATCTATCTGGCCTGGTTGATCAAGAAAAAATTTGGTTCTAAAATCGATTTGTAATTGGGGTGTTTTTTTGTTTCGATATTTAAAATAATTACAAATTTTCCCCCCTACGATCCGTTAATTTTTACGAAAATTTCGTAAATATTAACGAATTGATCCGTTAAGATAGCGGACGCGGTTGTGCAACATGAACATAGGAATAATATGGGTGGGAGAGAGAACTTTCGTCTCTTTGAGGCAAGTGTGAATGTTTCAATTGGCCAACTCTGAGGCTTTGGTCTCCTCAGCGGGCCATCTGTGCGTTTTGCTGCTTCTCCTTTTCTCCCACTTCCTCTGTTCTTCCCATTTGGGGGGATTTCCTGCCCCCCAAATCAAGGGGAAAAGACAAAGACTGTTTTGTGGAGAAGGGGGAGGGTCACGGAGAGAGAAAACGCCAAGTCCTCCGCCGAATTGAACCGAAGGAGGGAAAATCAAGCGGAGGGAAATGGAGAGGAAGACCTGAGGCGCTGCTTTCCCCGCCGTCGCTTCGCCGCAGCCCTTTGGCAGGCCCTCTTGTACCAAATTCAATCTCCTGAGAGAGAGAGATATATAAGGGGGGGGGGAGAGATACATATGAGGGTTCTTTTATGAGAGGTAAACCGTCTAAATAAATTTTATTAGGGGCAACCAATATATTTTCTGGTCGTTCCCCTTTGTTCCTGGGCTACGTGTGTGTAACAATCGAAAACCTATTTATGGAGGGGGAAATCGCCGGATCCGTCATAGAAAATCCTTTTCGTTTGCTTCTGAAGGGATTTTTTTTCTCTTTCTCTCTCCTGAAGAAGAAGAAGACCCTTGTCTTGGTGGAGATTTGGGGAAGGAGGGGGCAAGCCACCGCGCCTTGTTAGGGACGGCGCTGGGCCTGATTTGGGGAATGGGAAGGGGGGGGAGACTCCTATTATTAAGGGAACCGAGCCCCAGCGGCGCTTTTTCTGGCTGAGGAGGGGAGGAAAGGGGGAGAAGGAAGGAAGGGAGGAAGGAAGGAAGGAAGGAAGGAGGGAGCCAGCGGGGAGGAAGCGGCGAGGAAGGCGGCGAGAGACCGGGGAGACCTTTGGACATGCCTCTGCGGCTCAGTCGGGAGTGGAATCCAAATCTCCCCCGTCTAAACCGGGTTTTAGAACCGAGGAGAAGCGAGTAGCTCTCCTTTTCTCCCTCTTTGTGTTTCACATGAAGGGAAATCCAGTCCTCTTGTCCTCTTTTCCTTCTCCTGTCATCCAGACTTTCCTTTCTTTGGGTCCCCCCATCCCTCTTTCCTTCTTTTATCTTTCCCCCTCAGTCTTTTTCTTTATCTCTCTTTCTCTTCCTATCACCCTTCCTTCCTCCCTCTTTCTCTTCCCCTTCGCTTTCTTTCTTTCGCTCTCTTTCCGTCAGCCTTCCCCCTATCTCTCTGTATCTCTTCAACTTTCCTTCTTTCTCTCCCTTCCTCTTTGGTCTTTCTCTTCCCCTCAGCCTTCCTTCCTTCCTTCCTTCTCTCTCTCTCTCTCTTCCCCTCAGCCTTCCTTCCTTCCTTCCCCTTCCCCTTTCTCTTTCTCTCGCTTCCCCTCTGCTTTCCTTCCTTCGTTCCTTCCTTCTCTCACACACAATCCTTTCCCCTCAGTCTTTCTTCTCTCTCTTTCTCTCTCTCTTCCCCTCAGCCTTCTTTCCTTCTCTCTCTCTGTCCCCTCTCTTTTCCCCCTTCGCTTCAGTCTTCCTTTTTAGTCTCCCTTTCGCTCCCTTTCAGCCTTCTTTCTTTTCCTTCCTCTCGGCCTTCCTGCGCTCTCTCTCTCTCTTTATCTCTCTCCCGCAACCTCAGCTTTCCTTCCTTCTTTCTCTCTCCCTTCTTTTCTTTTCTCTCTCTCTCTCCACCGGCGCCCCACCCCGCCAGCCCACCGCGCTTTGAAGCCTCGGAAGGAATGATTTAGTTTGTTTATCCTGCTATAAAAATCAAGAGCAATAGAAAAGTCATAAAAGGAAGCACGCCATCCATCATGCCGCTGTCGCCGCCGCTGCTTCTGCTGCCGCTGCCTCAGGCGAGATGGATCAGCCCCAGGAAAGGCGGATTGGGGCGGGGGGGGAGCCCCGATATTTGGCCTCGGAGCTTGGAAAAGACGCATTGGATGCTCCAGGTGTTTTGGAGTGTTTGAAATAATAACGAAACAATTACAAAACAATTACAAAATAGCTTTAAAAATTCGTTTTTTTTAAAAAATGCTCCAGACTGATTCGTTATCGCTTTGTAATTGGAAAAATTAACGAATTATTAACGAATTACGAATTAACGAAACGAAACCGCCCAGGCCTACTATCTATCTATCTATCAATGCTCTGTACGTATTGAGTGACATCATAACTCAAAAACCACTGGACGAATTGCAGCCAAATTTGGCCATAAGACACCTACTAACTCAAGGAGTGACCATCACTCAAAAATTGATTTTGTCATTTGGGAGTTGTAGTTGCTGGGATTTGTAGTTCACTTACAATCAAAGAGCATTCTGAACTCCACCAACGGTGGCGTTGAACCAAACTTGGTACACAGGACTCCTATGACCAACAAAAAAGACTAGAAGGGTTTGGTGGGCATTGACCTTGAGTTCTGGAGTAGTAGTTCACCTACATCCAGAGAGCACTGTTCCAGAGTAGGCAAACCAGACAATTACTACATCAACACTGACAAAGAAACAACAAGAAATACTGTTTACCCACAAGCATAAAGAAATTACATATATTAGAAACCAATGCTTTATCATCACTTTATTTTCCAGATCACCAGACTGGGCCACAGCAGTGTGTGGCAGGGGACAGCTAGTATTGTATAAAAAATAACTTGTCTCCAAAGAGATGATATCATCTCCTTTTATGCCCCTATCATCATTGTGCTACTTACAGTGGTATATTCTTCTGCCATTAGTACAAAGGAAGCTTATTTTTACAAACCTAATACAATGTCTGTGGAGTCAGGTCATAATGTCATAAGGTTCTAATGTGTCACAAAAACACATCATTTGGGAGTTGTACATGGATTGGACATGTCTAATCCATAAAGTTCAGTGTAGTTTATTTCCAGCTATTTCCAGCTAAAAATGTATAGGATTATAGCATTTGTATTTTTTTATATATAAAAGACTTTAAGCAAACTTGCAATAAAACTAACAACATGGCAATTTTAAAAAGAGATCAACACAAAAACAATAAAATAAACATCAAATAGAATATGGTTCGACAGAGGAAAACATCTGGGATAAAAATGCAATACAGTATTTCTAGTGAAATTAATTCCATAGCAACAGAGCTGAACTGGGCCTCGAGTACTATTGTAATACATTATCACATGCTTAATATGTAGATTCTGACAAGGAAATTGCTAAGTATAAAACCGCTTAATGCAACTTTATGTCTCAACAGAATTTCACAGTGTATTTTATAAAATAAGTGTATTACACAGTGCCATGTAATCTAACTGTCATGATCTTAATTATATTTTAAGGCACTAAGGTTCTGCCTACGCTCATGATGTCATCGTCCCATTGAAGATCTACAGAATTGCACAGTGGCTTAAGCAGATAGGGTTTCTTCTACTTTAATTTGTGAACTCAGAAGTAAGCCCATTGGTTTCGGTTAGACTTACACCTACACAAGAGAATATAAGATTGTAGCCTAATCTCAGCAACCTTATAGCAGAAGCTATGCTTAAAAGAATTTTATTTTTGTTTTGTGTGTTTGCCATTTATTTACTTACTTTATTTTATCCCATCATTCTCCCAATATAGGGACTTATTCACTAACAGCAATAATGACACTATAGAATTAAAACAGAGCAAATGAATTCAAATATGCATAACATGTGTGTGTGTGTGTGTGTGTGTGTGTGTAATGTCATAGAAGAAAAATCTCAGAGATTAAGATCTTCTGGGGAGGCCCTGCTCTCAATTCCACCTCTCTCACAAGCACGAATGGTGGGAACGAGAGTTGTGGCCCTTCTCAGTTGTGACCCCTCGGCTATGGAACTCCCTCCCTAGCTAAATTAGAGCAGCCCCCTCCCTCCTGACCTTCAGGAAGAAAGTAAAAACATGGTTATATGACCAAGTTTTTGGACAGCAAAGTTTTTAGTGCAATAAGAGAATAAGGAATAGTGAATGGACCTATGGAATGACTATGGATTTGATTTTGGATGGCATGATTTTAATAATGGTTTTAAAATCGTAATGTTCATGAATGGGTTTTAATATTTATTTACTTTATTTATTTACTTTACTTGTATACCGCACTCTCTCAGCCCGTAGGCGACTCAGTGCGGTTTACAGCCAGG